GTTCCCTCGTCGGTCACTGGGGCGTTTTACAGCCTAGTGTGAAGCGGCTGGTATAAGAATCAGCACCTCCAAACCCGAGGCCATGGTTCTCAGTCGGAAAAGGGTGGCTTGTTCCCTTCAGGTTGGTGGAGAGCTCCTGCCTCAAGTGGAGGAGTTCAAGTATCTTGGGGTCTTTTTAACATCTCTCCCACATTTCATTGTTTATTGTGCAGGCCCACCAGTAACAAAACACTTTCTCAAGGTCAGAAAGGCACAGAAACCACTCTCAAGTGGAAAGAAAATACTTCAGACTAATTGCTTCTTCATTCTTATTAGAGCAAATGCTTGGATTAAGAATAAAAGCAATAGGTTTATTTGATGTCAATGAAAGCTAAGAAGAAACACGAAAACTAAGTGTTCCATAAATAAGGAAAGATAAATTCAGCAAATTGGATTTGTTTAAAAAAGAAAAACCAACTCTAAATACAGCGTGCTTTAAGTGCTTCAGGCCCAAAAAACACTGAACTATTATACTCAAAATAAACAATATTCCATGTATTTCCAACCATTCGAATCATATAAGCATACTAATTTACAAAGCAACATGAACATTTCATGGGAAATAGTGAAAAATATTTATAGCACATTTTTAAAAATCGTATTTTCTGTTTAGCCATTGTTTTCGCAAAACAACTTTAGTAGAACTGAGATGCAGCTACTTTTCTGTGACGATGCCATGGAGAGACCAGGATGTGTGTAAGCCATACTGAAAAAGGCAAGATACTGTATGTATGGAAATTGGCATCTAATTATTTCCTGTACTGGGAGAAACAGACATGTTGAAGTTCATTTCTCAGGCAGATCACCCACCTGTACATCAGTCTCCTCCTATGAACCATGTGCGTGTGTTCTACAGAAGCAGAGGACAGTAATGAGACGCCGTCCTCCGAAGAAGACGAGAACCTCGTGGACTTTAACCCTGATCTGACCATCAAACAGAAGATCTCCTCGTCCAGGAAGAGCATCAGTCAGATCATCAAAGACAAGAAGAAACAGACACAGCTCACCCTGCAGTGGTAAGAACACTGAGAGGGCCTCTAACACTCACAGGTTTGTGTTGCTTGTGTCCCAGAAACCCTACTTCTTCCATTCTACCACATGTTGATGGCTGGTGGAAGACCTGAGAGGCAGCCTGACTTGTCTATATAGCAAAATGAACTTACTAACTGCACTGTATGTATGAAATCACTGTTTGATATATGGTGAATAGGTGACACAGTGGAACAGTGGTTAGCATTGTCACCTCACAAGGTTCCAAGTTCAAGCCTGGGCCGACCCAGGGCCTTTCTGTGTGGAGTCTACATGTTCTCCCTGTGCCTGAATGGGTTCTCTCTGGGTACTCCGGCTTCCTCCCATAGTCCAAAGACATGCGGCTTAGGTTGACTAGAGATTCTAAATTGCCCATAGGAGTGAGTGTGGGTGTGTGTGGTTGTTTGTCTACGTGTCAGCCCTGTGATAGACTGGCGAGTCCAGGGTGGACCCCACCTGGCCGCACTAGAAGATATTTTTACATGCTTCTAAAACTCTTGCCAAGTGAATTTTTCCTGTTCTGTTGGCAAACAGTTTGGCTTATTTTAAGTAATTTTTGAGGGCTACGTTTTGCAGGTCAGTTAACAACTTGCAGCAGTTCCACAAACATTTCCTTATCTCACAACAAAGGCTTCTTTCTAAACCAAACAAGGATGACAGCCAGAAGTGACTTCTTACTTTTGTTTATTTGTTTGTTTTACTTTTGATTTTGATTTGATTTGATTTATTCTTTCAAACATGTAGAAACAGAAGATATCAACACACACACATAATTACACAAATCCAACCAATGCTAATCCAGAATCAGTTTGCTTATACCTAGTACATGTTTGAATGGAGTAGGAAGAAGTCAGACTTATCCAGTCCTACCCCATAACATCATCTTATACAAAAATTTCATGCATCATTGGCTGCAAGCAGTATCTCTACATAGGTAATTCTCTTCTTCACCAGACAAGTAATACACAGAAAATTTAAAACAGAGTGTTTCATTCATGCATTCTTGATTAAATCTCTTATTCTTGCATATATCTTGAATGACACATACTTTTATATTTATATTTAAACTCCTCAATTCTAGTACTGTTTTTCATGTCCACACTTAAATTATTCCATAATTTGACCCCACTTATAGAAATACAAAATCTTTTTTTGGTTGT